GATCATAAAATACTCTGAGTACTTCGTGTACCCACAATCTAAAATATGAATGTAAAAATCATTTCTTAAAGCTCGCATTTTAAATAATACGTACCTTATAAAAACTTTCCGGTGGGTAAAACTCTCTCTACGAAACATAAGTATTCCATTTATTACTTTTGAAATATCTCGTAAATTAAATAAATAGTGTGATTTCGTTGGCGTCGGGGCTAAATTGGAAATAGCTGATTTGTATAAATCAATTGTTGATTGAATTAAATTATCGATGATAGGGACAACTTCTAATGTAAAACCATTTCTCTAAAAATTAATTTGTGTATAGTAATAAAAATAAAATTTTGATTTTAAATGATATACTTTTAGTCCAATATTAAGTAAAGTTGAATATATTTTTGTAATACTTGTATCATCAAATGAATTTATAGCAAATAACCCGAAATGACGCAAAAACCTTACATACACATCTTGTCTACTTCCACCAGTCGGACCAATGGCAGTTAACATTAGTATATCTTTAAGGTTAACTTTGCTTGTATCTTGTAGATCAAACCAGTGTCCATGGTCAAAATATTGTCTTAATAATTCTATGGGTGGTTGAGCTCCATATTGTTCTTTGATAGGCATATTCATATCATCAATAAATATCACACAAATCTTACCCTCCGGAGGTCCATATAAACCACGTTTACGCTTTATAAGTTTTGATAAAATCATTTCCTGAGTAAAATTAGCAGATGTCTGGGTTGTAAACGTAACGAAAGATGGAACGTATTTGTCTAACGATAACTGATTCATCATATAATTTTTTATGTAGAAACTCTTTCCAGTACCCGTAGAACCAAAAAGTAATAATGGTTTATGATGAAAAATAAACATTTCAACCAAATGCAAATATCTATAAAAACAAATTAATTAAATAAATTATGGTATTATTTAGATTTTAGGTACATGAGTTTACCTTGCAGTGTCAAGTGTGTGCACTAAAGTTTGTTCAATGTTATTCATTTCATGAAGTTTGTTATTTTTTACAACCTCCGCTAAACTTTTCCAAGATCCTTTAGATGTAAAATTGTATATATAGTCATATAATAATCCTTCACTGGGTATTAAAATTTCCAAAGGACTAAGAGCTTCAGGTGCTTCCAAACCAATAATTTCTCCCTTCCACAATTCTTTGAAATAAAGGTCAAATGTTGATCTTGAATTTGAATCTAGCGTTCCACCAAAGCCCCAAATAGAAGCATATACAAAAGCTCCTTGCAAATAAAATGTGAAGTTTTCATTAAATTCTGGGTTATCGACGTTTGAATTTTTTAATTGCATCTCCAGTATATTTAAAACATTTCTATAATGAAAATGAAGAAATAAAATAAATAATAATAATATAAAGGTTATAATTCAACTAACAAAACAGTGTTTGTTTCTCCGGCATTAGTTAATTGAACACAATTACGGCGTACAAAATTAAGGCATGGATTAGTTATCCAATCAAATAAGCACATAATATCTATGCCATTTTGATCTGAATACCAAAATTCTGGACAAGTTTTTAACCATGTTTCTACTAATGGTCTCCAACCTAAAGTTGCAGGATCCAAATAAATCATACCACACCGAGAGACAGTTGCAGGAGATGCCTAATAAAATGTAGTATTTTATTGTACTATTCAGTTATGATCTCTTAAATTATATCCATGCCTGATTAAGGTCCATTACTTCAAATATCATAGACATACAATCTGGCATACTTATCACTTCACCAGAAACTAGACACAACTTTTTATTATCATCTAATACTGTATTCATATTTTCTATCCAAACCGCATCAACCGGGCCATCGAAAATTAACCATTTTTTATCTGAAGTTTCTGCCATTGAATACGCTCTATAATGTATTAAATTAGATAATAATAGATAATTTAAGGAACTTTATAAAGTTTAATAGGTAGGTATTTTTGAACATCATATTTTGCTTAGATCAAAAATCTATACCTAAATGTGTTAGCTACAACTCCGTCAGACCATTCACGCGAAACATCATCGAAACACCCATAAAGCTGACCCATAGTCAACGCTTTGGGATTGATTGTTTCATATTCAACCTTTTCTTCTCCTTGACCAAGTTGATTCTGTAAACTCAACGTTTCTGCTAGTAAATGAAGTAATGATGTCTTTCCTCCAAATGGATTGCCTACTAACATAAAGCCGTGCCTAACTACCATCATTTCGTACGTTTGAATTAGTTTTTCCATGAATTTATCGATTGGTTGTAATTGCATCTTTGCGCACACCTAAATCAAATATTTTGACATGAAATCTATTTAAACCTCTGATTAAAAAATAAACTAACAATATTTGCAGCATGCATTAAATTTTCATAATTAGGATTTGGCATTCGAACGCCAGGAAATAGATCAGAAATTATTCCATTAAATAAAGGAACATCTTTACTTAAAAACTTTGCAGAATTCACATCTAAAATCGATCTCAGTAAAAGTTCTGATTCGTCATCTTTTGGAAACTTCATTTTTAGATTACCAGCTGCTATAAGAACAGTTTTTACAGCTCGCATACCTAAAAAAATAAAAAATAAATATAATCTATACATAAATTACGATTTAAAAATATTTGAACCATAGTCATAATGCGATTGAGATGATAATTGTTCTGAGCAAAGTTTATAAGTTGTAACGATCTTGACAGATAGTTCTCGAGCATTCACAAACCCGTAAGAATATAATGATATTTCTCCAATCATTGCATAGTCTGGTACCATCATGGCCACAGTTCTAAAGAGAACCTATAAATCATAACAGTATCGTTATTTAATCAAGCTGTTATTGATTTCATAAGTTTTTACCTTCAAGTTATCAGGAAGTTCGGATCTTCCAGCGTATCCCGGGTTCATAGTAATACACACATAACAATTAGGATTTAATTTAAGTTCAGTACCTTCAAATATGAAAGTGTCAACATCAGATCTCACCGCTTGAACAATACTCAATATCTGTTGAGCAATAACTGACAGTACTTCGATGTCAATGCGGTTAAACTCGTCAAAACAAGCCCAAGCTCCAGTTGAAGCTAACCCTTTAAAAAACTTCAAACCCAATTTCATAATGAATAAAAATAATACTTTTATAGTGCAAATACTTAATACGCATATACCTTTCCCATTGCCAAGTAATCAAGACTATCAGAGCAATTAAACACCACACATTGCACGGCCAAAGCTTTTGCTAAATCTTTTGTTGTTTCTGTTTTGCCAGTACCAGCTGGTCCCTCAGGAGCACCATTTAAGTGTAAATGATAAGCACTGATTAATGTGCGATAACATCTATCTGTTAAAGGAGTAATAACAAGTCTTGGTGTATTACCTAAGTATTCATATGCATAATATACGGTTGCGTTGGTAATACAAACCAATACATCGTCTTTCCAGTAATACCTTATAAAAAAAAAACCAGCTGCAATAGTTAAAATAAATTTAAAAACGATATTAAGTTACCTTAACTGGCTCAGCCATTTAAAATCCATATGGTGAGAAACGTTATTATTTGTTAAATCATCAACAACATCTCTGCAGTGAACATCTAACGTGACTAATGCACTTAAGGATATTCTTGTCTGCTTGCTCAAATTACCACGTACTAAATCAACTATATTATTCAATTGGTTCTTAAAAAAAATTTAATTAGATATATAAATATAGATTATAAGTTCTTTTATATTATGTGCCCAAAATTACAGTTAAAAACAAATGATAATTTCGCATATTTCCTATTTCTTTGGCGTTAAATACGTCGTGGACTTCTGCTGTCCAATACATTTGAGTGACACACAAAACACACTGGCCTGGCCATTTTTGTACCCACAAAGTTCGTTTTAAAGTCGGATACTCATAATAAGCATTTTCAATACATTGTTTAATTGATATGATCATTTGTTTTTCTACCTAAATAGAAGATACAACAAAAATATTACTTATGAACTCAAATAATAACTATTAATGTTATGTTTGATTTTTCTTAAAGGTTACCTGAATCAACCACTTTTCTACACTTCCTCTTGCTTCCACGGTTGAAATAAAGTGATTAAGTTCAATTTCTTCACCTTCGCTACTTAAAAGTTTTAAAATATTAAAATTTTTATCAAACTCTAGTTTAGCGATGCCTTCAAAACATTTTTTTAAATGAGGCTGAACTTTTTTGGGATTTTTAGTTTCTGATAAAATTTCTAAAATTTCATCATTTGAAAGAAAAAAGAACCTATAATTTGTATTAAATAAATTATAATAATCACTCTTGAATTTAATATTATACTTTAATTTATGAATCTAATTTTACCTTGAAAAGTATAAACGTTTTTTTTCCAAATAGTTATTTACTCCTGCATTTATAGTTTCCATCATATCACTACAATTATTTAATGATTCGAATACACCTTCTTGTCCTATACACTTGGTGGCTAACGGATCTGAATTAACCATATCTAATAATCCTTTAATAACCACATTGATTTCCTAAAAAAATATTATTAAATACATTTTCATTAAACTTTGTTGAGATTTCTAATTCTGCAATTTCATCAGTGATGAATCATCACTGTGTTTCACGAGTTTTACATTAAATAAAGATCCTTCTTCAGGCATTTGAGCAACTATGTCTTTAGAACTAAATATTGGCAAAAGGTAAAGCCACTGTATCTGCACTTTTGCCCATTCTTCAAGTGTCATATTCATACGGTTAACCAATTCAAACCACTCATTCACTTCGTTTCTTATCGGTTTTACAAATGCTGAACCGCGAATTGATATAGTTTTTATCAAGTGATCATCAAGTACCATTTGTATATCATCCAATCCAGACAGTATATTTAAATTTGTATCCCTTAAAATAACAAATATTCACACTTCATAATTATTTATAATTTTAGTTTAATAATAAATAAGATATTGAAAAAAATCATACTTATAATAAGGACTGGTAGATAATGTAATATGTTTCCAATCTTCTTTCATTTTCACCAAAGTTTTTCGTAATTGCTCTTCTTTTGTAGCACCCACACTAATTATATCAAACCTGTAAAAATATATTTAAAATATTGTTGGAATTATCGATGATTTACCTACTTAAAACTAACCTAGTTTTTTAATTTAATATGTTAAATCTACCTACTAATAATTGCTATAAATTATATACTGCGTATACAATATACATTTATTATCTGCTACACAAAAAATGTGTGTTATATTCTATACATTTTTGAGCGATTACTTTTTTATTTATAAAAACAATTATAATAATTTACCTGAATTATCGTAAGTAGGTAATCAAATGTGAAGTATGCAACACCGCAAATATGTATATAAGTTTATACTTACTATATATAGTAAGTATATTATACTTAGGTAACTAATATAAAGTAAATACCCACATAAGTACTTCTGTTTCCACCCAAATTATAATATAACTTTCTTCTGTATCATTAAGATTTTTATTTTATATCCTAAAAACCATAAGTCATACTTACTGAGCTAGTAGTGGTCCTAATTTTAAATCTAAAATTTTTGTAAGTGTAGTTCCAGCATTAGGTGTAAAGTCATACCCCGTCAAATCAGACATATCTTGCCAATGCCTTTCTGTCAAATGAGGATTACACAATATTCCAATAGTTGGGATATATTGCTAAAATTTATCAGTACACTTTTTTTGATGAATACATAATTAAATTTAATTAACAGTTGCATTATTTTGTGATCTATTTACAAGTCCCCTTTTATTCATATTTTTAATGTAATATTTATACGAACCCTAAACTGCTTCATACTATCAACTATTTGTTGTATAATCTTTAATGGTGCTGGCCAGAGGTTCATGTTAAGAGTATCCATTATACCTTCATATATTTTGCCGTCATTTTTCGTTAACATTTCTTTACATTTGTTTCTTAATAATTTTTGTATTCTTAACGCTTCTCTACATTTATATGACAAATTCAGGTAAAATTGTGTTATTATTAATTTTTTTTTTTTATAGTTACTTGTAAAATTCTTCGAACTGCAATTCTACTTCATGTATTATAAGTGCATCGAAGTCACCGTGCATCCAAGCATTCATTTTCAACAACCAACGATAGGAAAATTCAATCAGATCGATGAATGGCTTAGTGAAATCCTTTGGAAATATAAATATTTAGAAATACATAATATATTATATGATTCATTGGTCCATATTATATACTATTTAGTACCCCAATTTATTACACTCCTCGATTATTTAGTATCTGAGTATTGAAAACCATAGGCGCAATTTCGATTTTAAAAAAAGCGGGTAAGTGGGTATCGCTCTGCTGTACATTGGGGGTACCGGTGGGGTGGACTTCTGACTAGGATAGGTTAAATTTGAAAGCAATGATAGGTATCATTGTATACGAAAAACGATTCTGAACGGAGACGGTTTATCTGTCTAGGATAAATATATAGATTATTAACAATAACATTTCTGTATAGATTATTAACAATTTTCAAATCTTAGATTTAAAAAGAAAATTTTTTATGAATTTCTAGTTTAAAATAATTTGTGAATTTTCGTGATTTTTACGTATGTTGTCAAAATTAAAATTTGAATGCATGTAAAAAAAAAATTGTGGCTATATATTTCTTTTATTTTTCAACTGCTATTGTAAAAATATATTATGAGCCTTGTATTAAATTCTC